GTGGCTTATGTCTGTAATCCCAGCACTTTGGGAAACTGAGGCAGGAGTATCTCTTGAGGTCAGGAGTTCAAGAGGAGACTGGATAACACAGAAAGATCCTGTCTCTAAAAATTTTTTATTAAAAATTAGCTGAGCATGGTGTGTGCCTTTTGTCCTAGCTACTTGGGAGGCTGAGGGAGGGATCTCTTGGGGCCAGGAGTCCAAGACTGGAGCAAGCTATCATTGCACCACTGCGTTCCAATCTAGGTGACAGAGCAAGACCCAGTCTTTAAAAACAAAAACAACAAAAAATAAAGTACAGTTTTTCTGACTTTTCATTGATTGAAAGATGACCCCAGTATATCTGAGCAGCTGCTGTTTGATAAACTAGACAAGCTATCTGAAAGCAGGAAAGACGCCCTTGCATTCACCACTGTATCCCCAGAGCCCAACTCGGGGACTGGTGCATTGATTACGGATACTGAATCAGTGTTTTCTTGCATGGATGAGTTGAAATAGACCCACACCAATGAAGTAAAGGGACTCTCCACTCCTCCTTTCTCAATTTGTACCCTTCACCCTAAAAAATGCTTTCGGGAGTCACTGAAGCAAGACTTGAAATAATGTGGACTTCTAGCTAGTAATATTGCAGAGAAAATAATAATGAAAAGCACATCATGTGGCTATATCCAAAATGAGATGGCTTTAGAGAAAAAAATATAATTCATAGAATGAAGAGGAAAAACTGTAAAAAGTGTCATGTTTTGCATAGCAAAGTAACCCATAGCTTCAACTAGAAGAAAAGTTTCCAAAGGCACAAAAATGCAAAGAACTTCTGGTCTTTTTAGCGATATGAACATAATGATATGTCGTGTCATGTAAAACTTATTCTCTCCTTTTCTCTATTTACCTATGTGTGTATGTGTGTATACAGATGTGTCTATTCCTACTTAAATGGCTTCTGCACCAATGTATCCATTTTTTTGTGACTGCATGGCTAGATCAGACATCTCATCTCAGTTGACCATCCCAAAGAAAATGCATTACAGTCCACAATCCTTAGTAGCTATCAAGTGACTTTATCAATTATCAATACTTCCTGAGACATTTTAAGAATTTTGACCTGATGCCTTACAAAGGCACTAAATGGTCATTGTTCTCTCTCAGGCAAGGTCATACTTGCTCTGTTTATTTTACCACAGCCAACAGCACTTATGGCTTCTTAAGACCTGGTGTAGTGGGTTACACAGTGTTCTCTCACAATGTCTGCCTACCCTGAAACTCAGAATGGGACTTGGTTTGGAACAAAGATCTTTGCAGATGTAATTAGTTAAAAACTCAAGATGAAATCACCCTGCATTTAGAGAGAGGCTGTGGGCCAATGATGGGCGTCCTTATAAGATGAGAGGACGGAGAGGGACACAGAGGAGGGGGTGATACAAAGATGGAGGCAGAGATTGGAGAGGTACAGTACAAGCCAAGGGACTCCACAGATTGCTGGGAGCCACCAGGAGCTAGGATGAGGCAAGGAAGGATTCTTGCTTAGAGTTTTTGGAGAGAGCATGGCCTTGATGACATCTTGAGTTTTGACTTCTAACCTCCAGAATGGTGAGAGTAAACTTCTATTGTTTTAAACTATCAGGTTTGTGGTATTTGTGATGGTATCCCTAGGAAATTCAATCATCTGAGCTCAAGGGGGCTTCATCATTGGGGTGATAAAGTCATCCTTCTAGTTACACCTGAGTGAATATCACACAATCCTGACAGGCCTTCTCAGTTTCTCTAAACCACCTTCCTCCTCTCTCTGACAGACTCCACCTGCACCAGGTTGTCCCTCCACATTTTAACTTGGATGGAACATCACGATGTTTGCTTCCTGAGCAGCCATAAGCTGAGGGACTGCATGACAAACCCTGGCAGTGAGGGGCAGGGAGCTCTTGGGGAGGAGATGGGGGCACCTGGAGCAAAGGGGAATGAGAGACGGAGGGAAATGCATGGAAAAACATCTCTCCTTCCTTTCTTCCATCCACAGTCTGCTCTGAGGCACACTTTCTCCTTGCAAATATTCTAGAGAAGTCCAGGTATCCAGTGACCATGTCTGCTGAATATCACTTCACACGTCCCCTCTTCCCTTACCTCACCCTTACTGGGATTTTCAGATCACAAATACAGCCTTCACATTTAGTCCTTGTCACAGACTCCGGGAAGACAAGGTGGTATAACTTCAGCAAATTAATTAATGTCTCGTGCTTTTGTTTTTCCCTCTGAAAAATGGGAAAATTAGCAGTTTCTATCTCATACAATTGTGAGAAATTAAATAAATCAACATATGTAAAATAGTTGAAGGATGTCAGGCATCAAGTAAGTGGTAAATGATATGTACTGTTACCTGGCTTACGTAGGTTTAGGTTTTGATACCAAATGTTAATAAGAATTATTCATCAAACCCTAATCCTCTAGGAACAATCTGATAATCCTGTAAGTATCTTACTTTAATGAGATCAGAAGAACAAAAAGAAATATAAAAGCAACATGTAGGGGAAGGATTATTAGGTGGAAAACGGCCCGAGAGAGTAAATATTGTTTTTCCCAGGTCTCAGTTCCTAAGTTAAAAACAATACTGAGAAAACAGGGAAAAAAATTTCATTCTTTTTTACAAAGGCAAAGAAGTGCTTGGCTTAACTTAATAAGCAAGTGCGGCAGCGGCAAGCACTGTGTGGCATAAGAGCCACCATCTGCGTGGGATACGCTGGATGCCACGCTAAGCTCTATATGTTCATTGTCACATTTAATCCCATAACAATCTTTTGAGATGGGATTATGCACATTTAGACATGAGAAAACCATTTGATAGGAAAAGGTTAACTAATTGCCAAGGTCACACTGCCAAACAGTGGAGCACCTGGGATTTGAACCCAAGAATTCTGACTTGCAGTTTCCCCATCTCATCCTTCCCTAGAGTGTGAGGCAGTCTGAGTCTAGCTCTAAAGCTAGTCCCTTATTACAATGCTGGAAGAGTCCTAAATGAGTAGAATATAAAATGCTAATTTTCCCATTGAAGCAATCATTGTCTCTAACTACTTGGACACACTACAAGTGATATTGGGTAGTACCAGATGAGGTGTCCCAGACTCTACAATTTTTGTCCCCTGACTTGTCCTGTTAATTAGGAGCTACACACACACACACACACACACACACACACCCCTTAGCATCTGAAATAGACTCATGAAACATCAAAAAGTGGGTTACAGGCTGTTCATGCCTTCAAATTATGATACTTAAAGTACTCTGCAGCAAGCCAGAGACAGGAGCCTGATGGGTGAGGCTCCTGGAACACGCAGCACTTCCCCAGCACCAACTGCCCCAGAGTCAGAGTCTCCTGAAACACTGCCATGTGAGTAACAGAAATGCTAGGTCCCTGACAAAGTCCCTCCCCTGTTTAGCTTTCAGTTTCCCCTCTGACACAGGCACTTCCCTCTGCTGGCCTGAGGTTGATGAATTAGAACGTGTGTGGTGCCTTAAATTGGAAAGGGCAGTAATTTTCCTGAGCAACGAGCACTGACATTTTCCCATGGCTAATCAGAGAGGAACCAACACTATAATGCTAGTCAATCCCTTAAAGCTCCCTGGATAAAAGACATTATAGGAGCATTAATTATCATTGCAGCTGGAAGGAAGAAGAGCTAACATATGAAGTGCTTTTACGGGGTGGAATGCAAAGCTCTGAGTCAGGGATAACTAACAGTGCCTTTGCAGGTTTCCTTTCATTGTGGTGTCACAGGCTTACCTTTAAGTTAGCTTACTGGCCATCAGTCAGACTGATGAACAGTATTAAGGACAAGAATATTTCCTCAGAAAGTGTCTTCTTAAAATGTACTCATACTCATGAGAAGTGAGCTATAACCTATGAAAGCACCTTGTGTATTAGGAGAAACGGTTGACCCCTCTTCCACTCTGCCTTTCTGTTTAGAATGCACTGTGAAATAGACAGTTACCATGAATGACTTGAAAACTTAAGTGTCACTGATTTCTGGAATGATTGGGTGAATTGTTTATAACTAATCCTTTTGCCACTGTAATTAGAGTTATGTGAATGCTATACCTGGGTCTAAAAAAGCACTCTCTTTGACAATGCACACTCTTCCCTTCTGGGAATGTAATACACTTGTGTTCTGATTAAACTAAATGCATTTATTAAAAGCTTGCAGGAGACCTTGGATAAGTCACCAAACCTCTCTGAGCTTCAGTCTCCACATTTGTTAAACGAATGGATTGGATTAGATTAGAGGCCTTTTCCAACTCTAACACTGATTATATGTTTAAAATATGTTCTTGTGAAGATAAATACCGGTTTGTAGCATTGGCGATGCTTCTGTCTCTGAAACTTCAATGTCACCATTAAATTATTAGTTATGGGACAGAATTGGTTACTGAGAAAGATGAGGGGCTGTCCTCTCACAGTCTGCCCCTGCTTCCTCCCTGGAATCGTATGATTCAGTCACATGAATTACTTCTAGGTACCTGAAAATGCCATGATCACTCTTACTTCCGGCTTTTGTTTGGTCTTCACATGGCATGGAATGCTCTGTGTCCTCTTCTCCATTCACCCCAATTCACCCTGCAGACTTCAGCTTAGGTGCACCGCCCCCCGTCCCCGGAAGCCTCACCAGGCCCTCCCAGCTGCACAGTGCCCCTCTGGAGCATTCCTGTTTCGAGTGTTTCTATTATACCACTTCCCAAACTTTACTGTGCTTGCCTGTTTGCTTTCTAGAAGTGTCTTCTATTAGGTTGGTGAAAAAGTAATTGCGGTTTTTGCCTTTGAAAGTAATGACAAAAACCGCAATTACATTTGCACCAACCTAACAGATTGTAAGATCCCTGGTGGTGGAAACGTTATATTATTCACTCTTAAATCCCATTTCTAGCAGAGTATCTAGCCACAGATGCTCAATAAATATTCATTGTTGCAATTATATAATTTTAAACCCTGAGCAGCGTTAGGACATCCACATAGTTTCGTGACAACACTTCACCTCCAAGCAGCACTTTGACATGCATGACTGTCAGTTGGTTCTTCTGAATGCTCCTGAGTGTTATGGAGAGCTGCTCCATCAATTAATAGAGCAGTTAACCACTCAACAGATTTTTGGGCATTTACCTTATGGCCAGGCAAGAAACACTCCATTTCACTTTTCTGGGATGGAGAAGGAAGTACATTTCACAGTTTCCCCAGGGCACTGGACTCATGGGACTCTCCTCTACATTCTTGGTAGAGATAATGCAGATCTGTGAGAGCGGCCTCCGATAGGGTTGTAATGCTAGTCAATCCCTTAGACCTCCCTGGATAAAAGACATTATAGGAGCATTAATTATCATTGCAGCTGGAAGGAATAAGGAGTAAGGTGATACACATTGTGGTTTTCACTTCCAAGGATATTTCATGAAAGAATGGTAAAGAAGCATTTGTTGTGATTTATGGCAAGTCCAACACAAAGCTTCAAAAACTTCACAAAGAATAGAAAACCCCAAATTGAAACTTTAAAGAAGGAGACTTGTCTACAAATTTTGACTGGAAGCCTAGAAAAATTGCTTTGGAAAATACCTTTTTGGGTAAATATGTGAACGTAGTGTGTCTTATATATTGGTAAGCTCCATAAATATCCAATGACACATTAATCACTTCTGCCTCTAAATTGCTGATTTTTAGCTAAGGTTATTCACTTTCTTTGTGTGAGTTCCTTTGTTTGCAAAAATGGAAATGTAGAAAGGACTACTCATCTTAAGGGGTCATGAAGAGATTTTCTCTACTCCCATTTCTTCCTAATTGCTGGTTTACCATCCAACTACTAATATTCCAGCTGACAAAAGGAAGGCAATTTGATGGCAGGGACCTAGAACTTTTTTATGGTTATAATTATTATTTGTTTTGTTTTGGTCAGTGAACAGATTTTTATTTATTTATTTATTTATTTAATAGTTTTTGGAGAAGAGGTGGTGTTTGGTTACATGGATATGTTTTTTAGTGGTGATTGCTGAGATTTTGGTGCACCCATCACCCATCGCCAGAGCAGTGTACACTGTATTCAGTGTGTCTTCTCCTGACTCCCCAAAGTCCATTGTATCTTTTTTTTTTTTTTTTGAGACTGAGTCTCACTCTGCTGCCCAGGCTGGAGTGCAGTGGTATGATCTCGGCCTCCCATTCTCCTGCCTCAGCCTCATGAGCAGCTTGGACTACAGGCACAGTTGGCTAATTGTTGTATTTTTAGTAGAGATGGCGTTTTCCATTCCCAAGTTACTTCACTTAGAATAGTGGTCTCCAACTCCATCAAGATTGGTGCAAATGTCATTATTTAATTCCTTTTTACGGCTGAGTAGTATTCCATAGTATACATACGTCACATTTTCTGTATTCATTCATTGATTGATGGGCATTTGGGCTAGTTCCATATTTTTTGCAATTGCAAATTGTGCTTCTATAAATATGTGTGTGCAAGTGCCTTTTTTATGTAATGACTTCTTTTCCTCTGGGTAGATACCCAGCAGCGGGATTGCTGGATGATAGTTCTACTTTTAGTTCTTTAAGAAATCTCCCTACTGTTTTCCATAGTGGTTGTACTAGTTTACATGCCTGTCACCAGCAGTGTAAAAGTGTTCCCTTGTCACCACACTCACACCAACATCTATTTTTAAAACACTTTTTTGATTATGGCCATTCTTGCAGGAGTAAGGTGGTATCACACTGTGGTTTTCACTTGCATTCCTCTGATCATCACTGATGTTGAACATTTTTTTCATGTTTGTTGGCCATTTGTATATCTTCTTTTGAGAATTCTCTATTCATGTCCTTAACCCATTTTTTAATGAGATTATTTTTTTTTTCTTGCTGATTTGTTTGAGTACCTTGTAGATTCTGGAAATTAGTCCTCTTGTTGATAGGCAAAATTTTTCTCCCACTCTGTGGGTTGTCTGTTTACTCTGCTGATTATTTCTTTTGCTGCATATAAGGTTTTTAGTTTAGTTAGGTCCCGTTTATTTATTTTTGTTTTCACTGCATTTGCTTTTGGGTTCTTAGTTATGAAGTTTTGCCCAAGTCAATGTCTAGAAGGTTTTTCCAATGTTATCTTCTAGAATGTTTATGGTTTCAGGTCTTAGATGTAAGTCTTTCATCCATCTTGAGTTGATTTTTGTGTAAGGTGAGAGATAAGGATCCAGTTTCATTCTTCTACATGTGGCCTGCCAATTATCCAGCACCAGCTGTTGAACAGAATGTCCTCTCCTCATCTTATGTTTTTGTTTGCTTTGCCAAATACTAGTTGGCTGTAAGTATTCGGCTTTATTTCTGGGTTCTCCATTCTGTTCCATTGATCTATGTGCCTCTGCTGTTTCGGTGACTATAGCCTTCTAATATAGTTTGAAATTGGGTAATGTGATGCCTCCAGATTTGCCTTTTTGCTTAGTCTTGCTTTGGCCATGAAGGTACTTTTTTGGTTCTATATGAATTTTAGGGTTGCTTTTTCTTACTCTGTGAAGGATGATGACATTTTGATGGGAACTGCATTGAATATTTAATTTGCTTTCAGGTCCTGGGCTGAAGAAAGAAAGGAAGTAAAGGTATAGTAATGGTTAAAGACCCAGGAGGTTTTTGACCAGGGTTGTGAAAGCGCCTTTCCCTGTAACGGATTAGAGAGGTCCTAAAGATCCCAGCCAGACTAAAGATCAAATCCTTGCTCTTCAACATTCTTTGATGTCTCAAGCAAGTATACTTAAACTCTCTAAGTCTCTACAACTGTAAAAATTGAGATCATAATATCCAGTTCTCATGATTATTATAAGGATTAAATGATAATTGTGTCTGTGAATACTCAGGCACTGCCTGGCAAATAGTAACCTCTTAGTAGTTGAGAATCATTCTACTTTTTTTCTAGCCTGTCATAGTCTTGACACCAGACTTCATATGAAGGAACATTCCTTCCTTATCCAGTAAACATAGAAGTGCAGCCTGGAATGCTTTCCATCTCCTGCTTGTTAAAAAAAAACCTACTCAAATTAGCATGTGTGTGGTGAAGTGGTGAGGGGAGGGCCTGTGGAGTCAGTAAGAACTCTTTTGGCAGTTGAAGTTATTTGAACTCAAAGACTGTGTTCACCCAATTGTAAAGTAGGAATAATAACATTGTCTCCCTCATAGGATTCTTGTATGACATGAGAAAATGCATGGGAAAGACTGAGCACAATGGTTGGTAGCAAGCAGTCAATAAAGGACACCTGTTAACTCTGTTAGGCAATAAAAGCTCAACTCAGTAGCTTCCTCCTCTCTGAGGATTTTTCTGTAATTGCTCTCTGTGCTGCCATAACACATTGTCTATAGTGCATTTCTTTTCAACATGAAATTGTCATATTGCCATGTGTTAAAATTAGCAGTGTATATAAAATGTCTGTACAAGCTCATGTGCTCTTTGAGAACAAAGACTGTTTCAGTCATGAGGTCCTTACAATCAGTGGGGGTTACATAGTAAAGGCTCAGAAGACATTATTGATCTTAACTAAAGTGATAAATTAAAACAGAAAGGTTTTCTACTAAGGTGATAACTAAGACAGTTATCACATCCTCTAAACAATAAAACCAGCAAGAGGCATACAATGTGTAATAGTCACTCTAACATAGATGATCAGGAAATTGGTGTGAGTGAGAAAAAGAGATTGAAATAATTGAGAAAAATATTTACGTGTCAGAAAGAAAAGTGTGAATCAATTACTAGAGTTAATAATATTAAACAAGTTGCTGCTTGAAAAGCATTGATATATGGATGCATTGGACAATTTTTCCCAAGCTTTCCAGAAAAAGGAATCAAGATCACTCAGCTGCTGACAAGTGATTTTAGCCTTTCAGATTCAACATTATTTACTGTCACCCAGCTAAAGACAAAGGAGTTTACATGCTGTGTACATAGAATAAATATTAACTGGGTGATTACTCACAATTCATTTTTATGGACCCTCTCTAATTTGTAGTTACACATGCAGACAAGCATCCCACTGAGATACTGGCAGAGGGATGAGGAAGAGGTGTGGGAGAAGGGGAAGGGAATTAAACCTCTGCAAGTTTCCACTCACACCACTTCCTCCTTATCTGTGTAATTCTATCTTCTCTGTTATTGTCTAAGACACTGTTGTGCAAACCCTTCATACCTGAAAGTCCTGGGAATAGAACTGTGGTATGAGGTTTCAGGTATCAGGGCTAGATATGGGAGTACTTTTCCATTATACAAAAGCAGATAACAGCCCTCACCCCCCAACTCCAGGGCTTCATCAGAGGAGATCGAACCCTTGCTATGGGCATCAAGCTTGTGTATAGGATGAAGTATGGGAGATAAGGAGCGAGGCAGTGTTTATTCAAACACATATGTAGCCCCTGTCCTAAATCAGTGCCAAATTGGGTGATGGCAAACCTAAGAAATGCAGTGTCTCACTTATACAATCCCAGCTTCTCCTCAATGTTAAAGGGTCATTTATAAGTTAACATGAAAATAATATTTTTAAAAACTAAATTGAGTATCTATTGTTTGCCCGAAAGGTCCAGGGGATATTGGTATTGGTGGGAATGGTTCTAATTCTTATGTTCTAGAAGTCCACAGATTTCTGTTCATGCCTAGGATCTGCTACACTCATGGAGGACATCAGGCAAGTTGCTTAACCATATAAGTTTGGGAGCGGGTGGGCAGTTTCCCAATTGGTACAATGAGATGGTTGATTAGCTTATCTCCAAGACAACTGGGCTTAATATTTTAAAGATCATAGATAACTTGGAGAATCTAATGAAAACTGTAAACCTTCTTTCCAGAAGAAAGTACTTCTAACATTTGACTTTTAACATTTATTTTCAGAAACTTTATGAGCACCTTGAATTTACTGACAGACTGCAGGTCCCTGTTCTAAAGGATTGTTGCATAGTGTTTTGGATAGTTTGAATACTAAGAATGAATACCAAGAGGGTGTAAAACACAAGGGCACTGCTTTTGCCTTCAAATACACCAAGTTAAAATTTAATATTCTTGAGAATATCAAGTTAAAAATGAAAGATCTGATATCTTCTGACTTTTAATCCATACATCAAACGACTTTAAATCATAAGCCTAGGTTTCTTTTGTATATTTTTAAATAAACTGAATTTTCCTAGTGAATTAAACTTTCTACTTGCACTGTAATTTCAAAGGTATTTCCTTAGGGAAAAATTTTTGGCTCCAACTATGAATATACACAAACAAAATTATCACATTTTGGTAAGAACTAATATTTATCTGTGAAACCTCATTGGCCTATTTTAGCTTAAGAAACTCCCCCTC